CAGCAGCAATATAGCCGCTTGGGAAATCATAAAAAAAAGTTCATGTTCACGTTAAGCGCGGCCACATGACCAGCCCGTCGGCCAATCCCTGCGCGCGGCCACTCATAAACTTGTATCACAAAGTTGTAAATTTTCATAAAACAACAAGGAATTTATTGCATTTCTTGGTGGAGCGCTGTTACTGGGGGGGGGGGCAGCCTCCCTCTCTCTCTCTCTCTCCCTCTCTCTCTCTCTCCCCCCTCCCTCCCCTCTCATTCTTCTTTCTTTCTCCCTTCGCCGCCATTTTCTCCCACACTGGCAGCGAGCGACAGGAAACCAGAGAATTTCTCCTGGTTTCTTAGTTCAATCTCAGAAACTCAGTTTTAAAATCTTTCATCTTCCCCATCAGTGTCAGACGGTGTTGATTTAATTTAATCTGATGGATTATAGATTATGGATTAGAGATATTTTTAGTTTTAATTTGGCCTCAGCTGAGGGTCGTTTAAAGACCTGCTGTGGACGGAAATTCACAAAAGAAGAAGAAGAAGAAGAATTCTGTGGCACTCAGACGTCACTGTAGTAGCTCACAGTATGAGTGCACGAACTTTAGGTCCACACTGTTGGAGAGAATTCATCAAAAAAGTAGAATAAAATATAAATATAATACAAAAATACGTCACATGACGTTTAGGTGTGATTCGTGTCACACACGTGACATGTGTTCCAACATGAGGTCCCACTCGTGGTTCACCGTTGATGCTCACAGACCCTGGTTCAGACCCTGGTCACAGACCCTGGTCACAGACCCTGGTCACAGCATCACCTGCATCTTCCCACGTCCGCCACCGAACCTCCCTCCACTGCAGACGACAGCTTTTTTTTTTTTCCTCCAAAATATCGCGTGCGTAAAAGCGATTTCGCATTGCGGCAACGCGTCACCGTTTTTACGGCCTCCAGGCCTGAAACACCAGGGCGCGGAGTTTGGATTTTTGTTGTTTTTTTCCACGTCTAATTTTTAATTATTTACCAAAACGAATCTGTTTCTACATGAGACACCACACCTGGATGAAAAGGGGGGAGAACATTCCTCACCCCGTGATTTCTGCCTGGTCGTTTCTCCATGTTTTTCCAATGAAAATTCAGGAAAAGACAATGGAATTTTGCAGCAATTTTGCAAATAAATTTTAAAAAAAATTCCTCCTCCCAAACCTGATTGAACCCCAGATAGTATCGGTTCAACCAGATGTAGGTTCCGTGTCCGTGGTCCAGACTTGAGGTCCCACAGTGACCCACAGATGACCCCCCCCCAGTCCGGTCCGTGTCTGAGGACCCGACGTTTCCTCTTCTCCAGTGTGGCCCAGTTAAAAATTAACCGAACAAACAAGACCCCAAAAACAAAAACCAAAAGAGGAGGAGGAGGAGGAGGAGGTGGAAAAAGGGGGAGTGCAGACCGGAGGGAGGGAAGAAC